TGCCCCACCCAGTCACATTATCCTGACACCAGGCCGACCAGTCCTAACACTAACCTCTTAATGCTGAGCGTCAAGCGGGCAGCTGTTAGTACCATTTTTGTAAGTCTTTGGTATGACTCGACCAGGGATAAAATCCACGACCTCCCGCATCCGAGGCGGACACTATAACCACTAGGCCACCTGAGTGGTTCATTTACTGTTTGGTAATTCTTTCCATGTGCAGGTTGCTGTTGATTGTGAGACCAAACATGTTTCAAGTTTAAGAGAAATGGTCCATACTCTGTTGCATGTCTGACTCAGATTTGGCATTTAGGGAACAACCGTCAGTAAACAGCTGAGAACTGTCACCGCCTTAATTTTGTCTTCGCCCTTAAACTCCTCATGTTTAAAAGTTTGCCGTCAGTCCGGTATATGATGTCTGTCCAAGTGTCATAGTTATAGAAGGCATCGAGCAAACATGGCAGAAAACATCAATATTTACGAAGATTGGGACCAAAACAGCCTTGCTAGTGTCCGTTGGTGACTTGGAATGGTTTAGATAATTCGCCGTCGTTAACGACATAAGCAAGCATGCCATCATATAATTGCAGAACCATCACGATGAACTTCATTAGGTAACTAAAACTTAACAGAATCTTCCGTAGGTATCCACGGATGACTATGTCAATGGCTTATGTCAGGTTGATGAATGTTGCATACAGATTGGAACTCTGTTCCTGGTATTTCTGGAGCTGATGAGCTGCAAACATATCTGTGGTCCTTCTAATTTTTATAAAGCCGTACTGACTCTCAGGCATAAGGCGATTCAGAAAAATTCTGGCGAGGATTTTGCTGACATAGGAGATGTCTCTATTGTTGTCATTGGTCTGTCTGTTGTCTTTTCACTTGGATAAGCGGACGGTGAGTGTATCCTGGTATTCTTGTGCCTTCACAGTTTCTGTCCATTTTTTTCGACTTGCGGAATTCGATCAATTGCTTCTTCACTAAAAGATGATTGTTGATTGCGGTTGTTACTAAAGTGCTGTGGCCATCTTTGCAATATATTTTCTTTGTCACTGTGTAGTGTGACGCTGTCAGCACTCCCAACTCTCCAAAAGGGCGTGAATGACAGTCTAATGCAAACAAAACTCCCACTATCTGTTAAAAGATATGTAGATATAATCGGCGCCTATGCACCGACCATGACCAAACCTGACGAGATCAAGGCAATTTTTATAAAGACCTGTAATATCTTATTGCTGAAGTACTGAACGCAGACAAGCTTATCATTTTTGGTAACTCAATGTTATAGTTGGCACGGATCACCAGATATGCCAGTTGTCATTGGCAAAAAATGGCTTTGGCAAATGCTCTAGCCACGGACTCCTACTACTGATAAGGAAATGCACAAATACGACCTACTAATCACCAACCCAGTCTTCCACTTGCCAAACCGCAACAAGGTGTCTTGGGTGCATCCATGCTTCAAGCACCGGCATCTTCATGACATCATCATCAGAAGAGACAGGCAGGTTGTCTGATTGATGAAGTTCATAACAAGGGCAGAATAATGAACTAACTGCAGGTTCATAGTCTCCAAGTTCAATAACCAGATTCATCCTAGCTGACAACAAAAAAGCTTAACGTTTCCAAACTGAAACAGGAGAAACTGTGCTGACAACTAAACATAATTGACACAAATCGCGAATATCAAGGAAAACTGGGCATCCTTCAGAGAATGTACTCAACTGCATCCAAAACCCCTGGTCCTGCCGCATGTATCAAGATTGATTTTATGACAATGATGCATCCATACTGAGACTTCTGGATGAAAAATATCAGCTACTGAATGCCTATTTAGAAGACAGCATTTCGTCCAAAAAGGCAGCCATCAACAGCATCATGAAGAATGTTCAATGCAAACTATGAGAGTTGCAAGACTCATGGATGAGCAATAACGCTGATAAGATTCAGTCCTAAGCAGACAGAAATGAAATAAAGAACTTCCATGATGTTCTGAAGAAAATCTAGAGACCATAATCATGAACATACTTATATTTGGAGTTCAAATAATGGTATTCTTTAATTAAATTCACACATTAATTCTAATTATGTTGTAAATCAGTTCAAATCAAATCCTTATGCTGTAAATCAATTCTAATCCTTATGCTGTAAATTAATTCTAATTCTTATGCTAATTAATTCTAATTCTTATGCTGTAAATGAATTCTAATCCTTATATTGTAAATAAATTATAATCCTTATGATGTAAATCAAATTTAATCCTTATGCTGTAAATCTTATGTTATAAATCAATTATAATCCTTATGCTGTAGATTAATTCTAATTCTTATGTTGTAAATGAATTCTAATCCTTATGCTGCCAAACATACAACTCTTCTGTACATCATTTCTAAACCATATGCTGTACATTAATTCTAATCCTTATGCTGTCAATCAAATGTAATCCTATGTTGGGTACAATACTAATCATTACTAATCCTTATGCTGTAAATAAATTATAATCTGTATGCTGTAAACCAATAATAACCCTTATGATGTAAATCTAATTTAATCCTTATGCTGTTAAACATACAACTCTCATGTACATCAATTTTGATCCTTATCTGAAATAAAACATAATCAATTAAATTAGAATGTATCTTTGTATGTATGAATATGTATGAAAACATGTGAACCTGAAATTATTTTATTGTTTGTAGTTAGAAAGAGCTAATGTTTCCTATATTATTGCAAGTTTACTCTAAATAAACCTATCACTGACTATATTTCTGTCGCAGCAAATATTGTCATTGACTATAGTTTTGTTGCAGCAAGTGATGTCTTGACAAAATGTTTGTTGCAGTATAGTAATTGTCTTGACTATATCTTGTTTCAGTAAGTGTTGTCTTGACTTTATCTTGTTGTCTTGACTACATCTTTGTTGCAGTAATTGTCTTGACTATATCTTGTTGTACTATTTATAAGTGTTGCTTTGATTCTTTTGCAGTGTTATCTTGACTATATCTTTGTTGCAGTGTTAATTTGACTATATCTTTTTGCAGTAAGTCCTGTCTATACCAACAAAAATGTTGCCCTTGTTAGAAGATTTCCCTCAGAACCATTACATGGATCAATCTTTAATGAGTGATTGTAACATTATCCTCAGTAGTGACTTTTAAATCCATCTTGCAAGTATAATCCAACAGGGGCTTAGGCTTAGACCCTGTCATGTACATATCCAAACGACCTTGTGGTTTAATAAAAAATGCTTTGTGCAGTAGAAAACAAAGAAGAATGAAATTCAGAATATGGAAAATTGACACAGATTTGTTCAACAAAATTGGCATTTCCTGTGTGAAGTAAGTAAATGCAACTGATTATTTAGGGTATTATTATTTGGCTTTGTTCAAGAATGATATTTACTTTTTGTATACCTATGTTATGTGCACTTTAACAAAAACTGTGAAGTACCAAGTCAAAGGAATTTTAATAAAGAGTAACAATATTAACAGAAACTGTTGAATTTTCTCTGTGGATAGGCATTTCGTCTTTTATTCTTTATGGCTTAATAATGATTGATGATTATGACCTAATGATGACTGATATTATGAACTAATGATGACTGATATTATGACCTAATGATGACTGATATTATGACCTAATGATGATTGATATTATGACCTAATTATGAGTGATATTATGACCTGATAATGACTGATATTATGACCTAATGATGAGTGATCATTATGCCATAATGATGATTGATGATTATGACCTAAGATGACCGATATTATGACCAATTGATGAATGATATTATGACCTAATGATGACTGATATTATGACCTAATGATGACTGATATTATAACCTGATAATGACAAGGACTGATATTATGACCTGATAATGACTGATATTATGACCTAGTGATAAGTGATCATTATGCCATAATGATGATTGATGATTATGACTTAATGATGATTGATGACTATGACTTAATGATGATTGATGATTATGACTTAATGATGATTGATGACTATGACTTAATGATGATTGATGACTATGACTTAATGATGATTGATGACTATGACTTGATGATTGATGATTATGACTTAATGATGATTGATGACTATGACTTAATGATGATTGATGACTATGACTTAATGATGATTGATGATGACTTAATGATGAGTGATGATAACTCCTTTGCTTTCCTTCTGTGCCAACATTTGCTCTTTTCCTGACTACGTTGATTGTTTGACAAGTACTGTATATCCCAACTGATGGCTTCAGCAAGATCAATAAAAAGGTAACATTTAGGAGTTGATTTTATCAGTAAAGCAGGGCATTCTTACTTTCAGCAAATCAGTTTAAATAAGTCTTGTCCTAATTCATGATAAAATTTGAAAGATGGGAATTTTAAATATTATATATAGTACATTACAAATTGGAAATCAATGCATGCCCACCTTGTTTCCATGAAATGGCATGTCTCTGACAGTGACAGCAATGTAGTTTTGAGTTACTTGCCTTTAGTGCCAAGGATTCACATAGTGATTTAGAAATCTCTGACCCCCACCCATTTTGCACAATAAGCATATGACACAGCCAAAAGCTATTTAATTCGTACAATAAGCATATGTCCCAGGCAAAGACCATTCATTTTTGCACAATAAGCAAATGACTAGGCAAAGACTACCATATTTACCATATATATTGGGACACCATATTTGTTGGTACACCAGAAATTAATTTTAAAAGTTATTATTTGATATGATGTGATGTGATGTGATTGTGATTTTTAACATAACTTTAACAATTTTTCAGTCATATCGCTACGATGTCTGCAGTGTGGCAGTTTATAGAGTTGTCTAGCACTGAGGCATCATGCTGCAGACATGTAGCATGATGCCCCACTCAGTCACATTATTCTGACACCAGGCCTACCAGTCCTAACACTAACCTCTTAATGCTGAGTGCCAAGCGAGGCAGCTGTTAGTACCATTTTTGTAAGTCTTTGGTATGACTTGACCAAGGATCGAACCCACAACTTCCCGCATCCAAGGCGGACGCTCTGACCACTAGGCCACCGGAGCGGTTAAAGTAATTTTTTTTATGCACTGTATGTTCTGGGACAATGTTTTTCGAGTCATAAGTTGTGGAACACCTTTTCAATCATTCAAAAATTATATGTCGGAAAATGCACTCCAATTGAAATTTTTATTTTAAAAATATAAAACTGTACTTAAGATAAAATTCTTCAATCCACTGCAGCAGCATCTTATCAATAATACAACCCTTTTCCTGCACATGTACAATCCATTCTTTCGGTGCACAAATATTTGTTTAGCTTTCTCATACCGTGAAAAATTGTTAGAGGCAACACATCATCTGAAGCAGAAACTGCAAGGACTAAAGTCAGATTTTTTCAAATCTGCACCTACCTAATTCTCACACTTTTGACCCCCATCTTATCATCAGTCTGTCCGGGAATGCAATCCAAGTTCAGTAGAATTTCATCCATGTTAATGATCATATTGTTGGCGAAATCATGAATACATGACAAGATTCTATTTTCTCCAAATTATCTGGACGACATTATATTGTTTCACTTTAAAAATTCTTCCATTTTGTTTCAATTTTTTTTCTCTTCAAATTACCAAGAATACTGGTGAATAGGAACCAAAGTTAGCTTCCATATCTCAGCAGTCTTTGATATTTAATAAACAATTTTTACACTTAAAAGAATCCATAGTCGGCATCTGATGTTCGCTTGCTTTGCAATAAAAAAACCTTTGTATTATATCCTTTAAAAACAAATGTAGCCAAAGTCGGCTTATGAGGTCAGCTTGCTTTGTAATAAAAATAACCTTTGTCTTTGATGTCTTGTCATTAAGTTTAAAAAACTTGGCACCTGTAGTTATAATTAATACAAAAGAGCATTGATGTCTGCAGGTAAATAGTAAATGATACTTTTATAACCTGTGCTGGAGAAAAGATTGTCACTTACACTCATATGAATGTGTTTTGCAATGATGATTTTTATTTGCAGGATACTGTTATACAGTATACTTGGATATAATTAAATCTTGATTATTTTGCACCTAACACGTATCATTTTCAAGATATCGGTTGATTAATTTCCCTCTTGATTGCGATTTTGTTGGATCCAGTTATCACTCGGATAACATATTCAAAGCGATACATGCTACAGAATGGAAGCTTTTGCTACATATACAGATTTTGTGGATATATTTTATTCTTTAATGCTCATGTTTGAAAAAAAAGGAATAAATGTTAACAATACAAGGTTAGTTTCTTTCTTTTTACTATCAAATAAGTGTTTTGTTTATCCTTTTTATTGTAACATGCATGGGGGGGGGAAAGAGTACAAATGTTATACAAATTTATTTTGTTTCATAAGTCTTAGGACATATGACCTAGGTGAAATAAAGTTTCACCATTATGTTTTGGGATAGGAAAAAAAATTAATTATTTTATTATGTCCCAATATATATGGTAAATATGGTATTCATTTTGTTCAATAAGTATTTGACCCTGGCAAAGACTATTCATTTTGTACAATAAGCATATGACCTTGGCAAAGACTATTCATTTTGTACAATAAGCATATGACCCAGGCAAAGGCTATTCATTTTGTACAATAAGCATATGACCCAGGCAAAGGCTATTCATTCTGTTTCTACTCATTTTGTACAATAGGCATATGATGGGCCTGTATTGTCATAACCAGTTAAGAAAGTAATCTGTTGCTGGGAGATGGAGCCAATAATACACCAGGTGCATTTTTTTTGGTTCATCATCCATTGTTGTCATGTTAATACTTACCTGGCATACAAAATGGTATCAACCAGACAGGTAAACAATGTCTGACACACACACATGCCAACTTTATCCTTGAATTGGGGAGATCTAATTGGCAAATTTTGTGGCCAAAAACAGTTAACTGTGAGAGAAAATGGTGATTCCATGGAGATTCATGTTCTATCTAATCAGCAAAAACATGCATATACTTGCTTACCTGGCCTAAAGAAGAGGTGTAAATTATGTTTTCAGCCAAAAGATCATTATGAAACTGTCTATGGTTACTGTGTGTACAATATCCATATATTCCAAGTTTAATTCCTTGCATTACATCATCAGAAATGAACTATTTGTGTTCTAAAAGATTATAAAATTTAGTTTTATTGTCATCAAAAATAACAAAAAGAAATTGAATTGAGCTGATTTTATAAAAATGTTTTACACCTGTTCTGTGATGTTTTAAACATCAATCATGTAAAATAAAATCTTGCTTCAATATGGACTACTCTTCATTTCTATGCATACTATGTATGATACATTGATTTTGCAAACAGAGAAGAAACAAAGAATCAGGTTAGCATTTTATTATTTCAAATCCTTCTGGGGGCAACTTGCTTAATATTACCCATTATGACATAATGGCATCAATATCAATCAGTGGTTCAGACCTATTACTGAACTGTTATGTTATGAACCAAATGACCAATTTGATATACTGAATAAATTACTCTGAATGTTATATTATCAGAAAATTGACTTAATAAGACTTGACAAAACTTGACCTTCCATATAATCACAAGCACTGGGCTAAGTGCAGACAACCTGTATTTGGGACTGGGTTCTGACAACCATGCCGGTATTGGTATGGCAACACAATGAGAATCCTCCAATGAAAATCTTCAGACTGATGGTACACAGGCTTTCCGAACACTCATTTCCTACAAAAGAAAAATGAATTTTCAACATTTAAAATAGTGTTCTGCCCTTGGCACTACAAAGGGAGTAAATTTATGCTGTTAGAATGACTTCCTGGGTCTCCATGGCATTATTAACAGGAAACAACATGTACTGAGATTCCCATCTAGAGTAGCTGTGGCAGATGGGTGATTTGGACACTGGACCCATAAACAGAATGATGCAGATTCAAATGAATTATCACCATTAAATCAACTAATGAATTTCACATTATTTTTTTAAAAGGCCATGTGTTTATTTGCTTTAGTTATTAAATTGGGAGGTGTTTCAGGAGAAAATTATCTTTTTTAAACTGAAAACTAAAATAAAGAAAATAAACTTAGTAAGTGATTAGTGCAATAACTGAAGATATGAGATACAACACAAATCATTTAAAGTTTTTCTATTTTCTAGTAATGCCTGCCATATATCAGGGTGGATCAACACCATTTGAACAACTTTTAAAAGCCTTCAGGTCCGGATCCTTAAGTCTAGGTCTACTGAGTAGTGTTTGAGAAGTTGTTTACATTCAGTAATGGTGTCATATCAGATGGTGGAATGCACCATTTGAACAAATCTGAAAGACTTTCAGGTCAGAATATTTTCTATCATACATAGTCTAATTCTGTTGAGTAGTGTTAGTTGTTTAAATATCTTTCTACTTTTAGTAATGGTGACCATATCTGGTGGTGGATTGTATCATTTGAACAAATTTGAAAGACATTCTGAGCATTTTTTGAGCAGATGTCATTTTTAGGTTCTTTTTCTTTTAATACTGGTAACTTTCTTTCGAACTTATTAAAATTCTGTTTAGTGATTTTTCATAAGTTGTTTAAAGATTTTTCTATTTGAGTAACTGGAGTCATATTTTAGTGCCAGTCGGAATTATTTAAACAAGTCTTAAAAGACTTCAGGCCAGGATGTTGTCTTTCAAAACCTTTGAATTGATTTGAGAAGTTTTGTGATTTTTTTGTTTTTTGTTTGTTTTGTGGGGCACATGATCGACAATTCAAAGCGGTCAGTATATTTGACAGAGGAAAACCCCAGGAAGAAGCAATGCTCCACAGAAGCTGAATGCAATCTTTCCCAAATACATTGGTTGACCAGAGACTATAACCCACAAAGACAGAGTTGAATTTTGAGTGATCTATAATGAAGAGCCCAAGATGCTGTTGAGAAGTCATTTAAAGGTAACTATATTTGACAAATTGGCAAAATTTGAATGAAAATGAATGACATCATGCTAAAATACATTATTATATTTGAGCAGACTTTGGGAAGTCATCTAAACTGTCAAAGTGTTAGTCATGGTGGCTATAATCGGATCAACATCAGTTTAAAAAACTTTCAAGACTTTCTGGAGCCAAGCTGATTCTTGAGAACCTTGTTATAAGAGTATGTTTTCTTATATTAGGCCAAGTTTTGTCAAAGATTTTTGATGAACTATCAAATTAAATTCAAGAAACCTCTTTAAAAATGCACTTTACAAAAATGATGACCTTTACTGCATTTGTAAACATTTGTAATGTAACTGATGTTTACTCATCCACTGAAAACAATAGAGCAATCTGAAAAGGATGTAAAATCAATATTGTTTCTAACATGCAAAAATATAAAGCAGATTTTTGGCTGATCCTGACCCAACTACTATTTACAGCCATCTAATAAGGCTAATATGTACTTCTTTTGAAATCCAGTCAATCCAGTAGTACTGAAAATAAACTGTAAACAAATGATGACATTAATCACTGTCCCCTGAAAATAAACTGTAAACCAATGATGACAGTAATCAGTGACCCCTGAAAATAAACTGTAAACCAATGATGAGAGTAATCAGTGACCCCTAGAAAAAGTTTGATCAAGCAGCCTGTATAGTCTGAACCATTCAATACACAATATTCCTGGAGTCATGAACACCTGTGTGTAAAGAACATATCATCCCCCTCTAAAACTAGAATTTCATGAGCAGAACTTAAGTGACCAATGAATATTTTTCATGTATTTAGAGAATTCAGTATGCTATTATTTCAGAAATTAGTGCCCTTTTTAGTAACACAAGACAAAATATTTTTGTGTGTAAATTACCAAATTTTGAATTTGGTCATAGTGAAATAGAGTTCTAAATTTGATCCAAAAGGAAAAAAAAACATGTTATTCTTGTCAGCAGTAGAAATCTTCCAACAAACATTAGCTCAATTTGTTGTTGCACAACTACAGTTATTACACAGAATATCTTTTTTTCTTTATTCAGTAAGTGACCTTGACCTGTTGAGTCAAAAATCAATAAGAGTATCTTGACTTAAGTGCATGG